CAGATCTCGGTGGCCACGGGCAGCATCGAGCAGTTCCGGAGGGCGGTGCGCTCCTACACCGAGGGCACGGCCGGCCACAGCAGCTGCCTGCAGTGAGTGCGGTGTTTGCTTTGGGGGGTGTTTTTGGGGTGTTTTGGGGGTGCTTTGGGGCTGTTTTGGGGATGCTTTTGGGGGTGTTTTGGGAGTGCTTTGGGGGGTTCCCCCTAGAATTGGTGGGGGGGGAACAGGGTGGGACAGCAGAGGTACCGGGGTGGGAGAGGTACTAAGGTAGGATGGGAGAGGTACTGGGGTGGGACAGGACAGGTACTGGGATGGAATGGGAGAGGAGAGGTACCGGGGTGAGACAGCAGAGATGGGACAGGGCGGGGCAGGAGAGGTACTGGGTAGGATGGGAGAATCAGGATTGGAGTACCAGGATTGGACACGAAAGGCCTGGGGTGGGACAGGAGAGGTGGGAATGGGTGGGACGGGAGAGGTACCAGGTGGGACGTGCCCACCCCTGTCCCCAGCCCTGCTCCTCACAGCCGGGTTTTTAGGGGGACACAGGGGTTTGTGTGGGGTGTTTTGGGTGCGAGGCTGGGCTGGGAGCTGGCAGGCAGTGTGCCCCCAGTGCCATCCCATCCGCTGCAGGTGTTCCCAGTAAGAACCAGTAACGAGCAAGGAGTGAGGGGGTTTGTGCCAGCAGGAGTGGCTGTGGAGTGTTCCTGTGAGTGAATGCAGCACTGAAGGACTCGGCAGCAGTGGAAGGTGCAGGGCAGGGCTCCTGCAGAGCTCTGGTGGATGCAGAGCCTGTGGGAGCTGCCACGAGCCCCTGAAGCTGCCCTGGGGAGGCCAAGGCTGCCCCAGAGCCCTGCAGGGCCGTGGCAGTGCCAGGCTGGCACAGCTGCTCCCTCCCTGTGCCACGGACCCTCCAGGCTGCCTCCAGCAGGGAACGTTCCTGCTGTTCCCGTTTCAAGTGTCCTTCCTCAGCTCTTCACTTTCAACAGCACAAATTCACATTTTCAGTCCAACAAAAGGAAGATGCTCGCTGTGACACGTGTGGTGGAGAGAATGGGAGGGGTTTTGTTTGGAATTGATGTTTTTTTATCTCATCAGGGTTATTTGTGGAGGCAGCAGGGTGGTGGTGTGTGGGCTGTGAGCACAAAGCTGAGCCTGGGGACACTCTGTGGGGCTGGGTCCCTGCAGGGCACCACAGAGCCCCGTGTGGAGCAGGGCACAGAGCCCCAGAGCTCCTGGTGACATTCTGGGCTGTCCCCCAGGGCCTGGCGCCCTCAGCAGCTGCAGGGAAGGCTTGGCCTCAGCTGGGGTTGCTGCTGCTGCTGCCCAGCACAGCTGCTTCCCCTGGCTCAGCTGCACCCCAGCGCTGCAGGGCTCTGGGGCAATTTCTTGCTGTGTTTTATTATTTCTTACTCCTCCCCAGCACCAGCCCCAGCCTCTCCTGGGCACCAGGGAATGGGGGAATTATCACTGTGGGGGCAGAGAGCTGGGGGTCTGTGCTGTGGGCTCAGCTTCTGCCCCCCTGCCTCAGTTTCCCCCTGTGTGACACCAACCTGCTCCAAGGGGCTGGAAGGATGAGATGTGGCAGTGCTGGGGAGGAGTAAGAAATAATAAAACACAGTAAGAAATAATAAAACACAGTAAGCAATAATAAAATAGAGTAAGAAATAATAAAATACAGAAGGTGCTGGTTCCTGGGCAGCAGCAAAGAGCAGGGTGAGGGCTGTGAAGCTCCTTTGCCACCCGAACACAGGAGCTGTGGAGCAGGATTTGGGTTTGGGATCCTCTGGAGATGTGGATGCACCCAGAATGTGCTTTGGGAGCTTTGTGGGGAGAGTGATGGGCACAGCAGTGCCCTGCTGTGCCAGGGCCATGCCAGGCTCATGCCAGGCCCATGCCAGCCTGCTCAGGGCTCAGGGTCCCTCTGTCCCCACAGTGTCTCTGCCTGCAAGCTGACTGACGAGCCCTGCTTCATCCTGTACGAGTTCTGGCAGGACGTGACCTCGTGGAGAAGGTGGGGCAGTGCCCATGTGAGGGGCTGGGGGCTCACAGGGGGTGCCCCCTGCTCCCTTCCCATGCCCAGCCCGTCCCTCTGCCCTGCCCTGTGTGCCCTGGGGCAGCTGCAGCTCACAGGGGGGAACAACACCCCCATAAAGGGTTTGGGGAGCAGGGGCTGGGGGTGCAGCTGCTGCTCTGTGTGGGCACAGGGCCTGGCACCACATCCCCCTGAGCCCACACCCTGTTTTACAGCCATTTGCAGTCCAGCTGCAGCAAGACCTTCCAGCAGTCCATCCTCAGCCTGCTGGAGTCCCCAGAGCTGCTGACCACCATGCTGTTCCCAGGTGAGGCTGCCCCAGCCCTGCTCTGGTGCTGCACAGGGCAGGAGCACGCACTGGGGCTCCCTTCAGGGCACAAAATCGCTTTGGGGTCACCTAAATGAGGTTTTTCAAGCCTCAGAGTGAGACCTGTTGTCCCCAGCAGGTTTGGCTGTGTGAGCTGGGCTCTGTCCCCTGCCCAAGGTGGGGACAGCCAGGAGCAGGGACATTGCTCAGGCAGCAGATAAGCTGAGTCCTGGCTCAAATACACCTGGAGCCTCATTTTGTGTTTCCCCTGAGCCCTAAACCTGCTCTGCAAAGTGCTGCTGCTCCCAGCTCAGTGCCAGGGGCTGCATGCAGGGTTCCAGCCCAGCTGGGGCAGGGGGAGGCCAGCACAGGCAATGTGCCATTGCCAGGGTACCCATGGAAATGGGACCAGCTGTGGGGACTGGGAACCCAATTCAGCCCCAGTTTGCTTTCAGGGATCACTGCAGGGTCTTGGAAAATATTACTCCATAAAACATGGATTAAATTGGACTGAACTCTGCTGCTCCTGAGTTGCCAGTGCCCCTGACCACACTCCCAGTACCACTGACCACACTCCCAGTGACACTGACCACATTCCCAGTACCACTGACCCCATTCCCAGTGCCACTGACCCCATTCCCAATGCCACTGACCACACTCCCAGTAACACTGACCACACTCCCAGTGCTCTCCTGCAGAATTGCCACAGTTCCAGGGGCTCAGCCCTGCCCAGGGTGGGGTGGGTGCTTTAGGGACTTGCAGGGTCAGATCCCCCATCTCTGCCACCCCAAATCCCCACTCCCAGTCTCACACTGCCCTCAGCTCCCTCCTTTCTCTCTCTTCCCAGCCTCCTGGTGGATCATGAACAACAACTGACCCGGGCCAGCGTCTCCAGGACCCCATCAGCATGCGGGAGGACGTGGGCACAGCCTCTGTCACCTCTGTCACCTCCCTGTCCCTCCATTCCCTCCTGTGGCCAGCGGGGGCTGCCTGCCCTCGGCCCTGCCGGTGTTTTGCTCCTTTGCTCTTTTCATGTTAATTTATTTATTTCTCCTGCTCCCAAGCCAGTGTCTGAGCTGCCTGGGGGGCTCTGGGTGGGGTGGCAGCCCAGGAGCATCCCAGGAGCCTTCAGTCGTTGTTGGACTTAGCTCCTCTTCCTCCTGGCTCTGAGCTGCCCAGGGGGACACAGCACTGGCCAGCTGTGACACCCAGCCCAGGGAGCCAGGTGGCCTGATACGGATTGTCAAGAGTGTTTTATAGGGGAAAAAATATTTCCTGCAGTGCTTCTGGCAGGGTGTACCTGCTGATGGCCTGCCACGCTGGCAGCACGTGGCTCTGAGGCTGGCACTGTGCCCCAGCAGCTGTGCCCATGGCTGGGCCTGTCCCCAGCACTGCCAGGGAGGGACAGAGGGGCTCCAGTCCCTGCTCAGCTCCCAAAACCCAGCCCTGGCACTGGGCAGGGGTGCCAGGAGTGGAGCTGAGGCAGTGGGAAGGGTCTGGGGTGGGGGGAAAGCTGGGGCAGATCCCACCTGCCCCAGGGTGGCACTGGGGCTTTCCTTGCAGCAGCAGAGCCTCTGCTGAGCTGGGGGAAAATGCATTGTGACAGCCAGTGTGGAGGGAGTGGGATGGCACAGGGGGCAGGAGGGACACCAGCTGTGGGAATCCATAAAATCAGAGGGTTTGGGGAAAGCTGCAAAAGGCACAGCAGAACTGTGATTGGACCTAAGCAGCAGCCATGAGATTGGTCAGATTCCCACAGCCAGCCACCCATGCTGGCCTGGAGAACATCATCCTTGTGCATCCAGCGTGGCACCAGGGGTCACCCCCAATTCTCACTCACCCAGGACCTGCTACCACCCCAAAGCTCTTCTCCACTCCTGTGGGTGCTGCTCCAGCAGAACCATCAGTGTGAATGTTTCTGCCCCAGTCCCTGGCTGCAGGCAGGAGAAGCTGAGCCTGAAGGGGCAGAGGGTGCAGCTCCTCCTGGGGACCCCAATCACACTGTGCTGGGTGGGTGTGACCCAGGGGGGACAGCACAGCAGGGCTCACTGGGTTGTAGGGTGTTTGTTTTGCTCCAGCAGGAGCTGCCTGGGTTGGGGTGCAGGGGCTGGCCTGGCTGGTGGCAGCAGGAACCTGCAGGGCTCAGGGAAGCTCCTGCTTGGAGGGACAGCCCAGCCCAGGGCAGGCTCAGCCCCCAAACACAAATCCCCTCCCAGGGATGGGGGGCAGAGCCTGGCCCTGTCCCCAAGCACCCCAGTGTTTGTTGATTATCAATCCCTGCTGCTTCGCCTGGCCAAAGCCAGGATTTGCTGGGACCATGGGGCAGCAGAAGTGGCTCAGCCCTGGGCAGGGGCAGCTGCAGGGCCACGCTCCTGCCCCTGGGAGTGACAAACAAAAGGATGCAGGGGTGTGCTGGGGCCACAGCAGCACCGCCAGGAAGGGACAGGCTGTGCCAGGGCACTGCCAGGGGGGTCAGAGAGGGGCAGCCACAGGGGCAGCCCTGCAGCAGGCACTGATTTGGGTTCCTGAGCTGCCTCCCCAGCCCCATGTGGGGTTCACCCCTCAGTTCTGGGTTTTTATCACCACTGGATTAATGTTTGCAGCAGCCTGGAGATGAAAAGCCTCTGTTTAAGCCAAGGTGTGGGCATGGGCATCGCTGAGGGGCACAGCTGGCAGTGGCAGCTGGGACAGCACCCTGCAGGCTGCTCTGTGCTCACTCAAAAAAATAACATTTAAAAAAAGCTCAGAAAACAACACACTGAGCTGTAAACTCAAAGGAATCACTGGGGACAGGGCTGAACTCAGCTGTGCCTGCACTTGCTCCCAGGCTTTGCCCACAGCATCACCACCACAGGGGAAGCAATTCTGTCCCTAAAAATCCAAGGTGTGGCAGCATCCCCCAAAAACCCCAAGAGCTGCTTGAGCACTGCTGAAAACCTATGCCCTTCCCAGAGAGAAGGGGAGCTGGAGGATGAATATAGTCTTTTTATTGACTAATTTTGAGTAGAACAAACTAAATACATCTGTAACAGTTTGGGTTCCTTTATACAGGACATTAAATAAGTTATGCACAGGAATGAAGTAACAAATTTCTATTACAGAATTAAATGTCAAAAAAAAAAAAATAGAAACCTTAACCCAATGTCTTCCCACACCCCAAGTTCACATTTATCATTCCATCTTAAAAAAAAAAAAAAAGAAAAGAAGCAATCATTCTAATCATGACTGTTAGTATTTCATTCATTTACACTGGGGTTAATTTTAATACACAGCCATCAAAGTTGCATGAGAATTATGGAAGACAATCTATTTACAAGCAATTCCTTCCAGCCCTGCCTTGTTCCCCCTTCCCAGCCCAGCCTGGCACTGCCACCCCTCACCCACAGTGTGAGGCTGGGGCTGCAGTGAGGAGGGGACCTGGGATGGACCTGAGGCTGTTCCAGAAGTGCCCCTTAGGGCAGGAGATCCTTCCTGCCAGCCCCAGCATGGGCTGCTGCAGGTCAGGGTGGCTCCACTGGGAGCTGCCTCAATGCCAGAGTGCTCCAATTCCTGGGGACACAGGGGACACATCCCCTGTGGGATTCACTTCAACACCACGAGACCTCGTGGCTTTTTAATAAAACCTTGCAGACCAGCTCCATCTCACAAGAGCAGCTTCCCACGGGGCCAGGGATGGAGCAGCAGGTTCCCTGCTCACCCCTGTGACAGCTCATTACAGCTCCATTATTGGCCTCCAATTGAAGAAGTGATCAGAAATAATTAGGGAATTCCCAGCCTCACTGGGCTCCAGCCCAGCAGTGGCACACACAGTCCCACACATGGCTCTGCTCAAGAGAAGGAGAGTTGGGAGCAGCTCCTGGAGGGCACATCCCCTCCCTGCCACGGGCTGTGCCACTGCCACCCTGTGTGGCACTGCTGGCCAGCCCTGCTGGCACAGCCTGCACTGCCCTGGGTGCCCCAGTCCCTTTGTCCACCCCACAACAGCGACCCTGTGATGGACAGAGCCCCCCAGGCTGGCCCCTTCCCCAGGGACCTCGTGATCCTCTGATTTTGGGATCCTCTGATTTTGGGACAATCTCTGAGGGTGGATGCACATCCCTGGGCATCTCTGGAGGCAGCACTGCAGGAATCCCCTGGAGCAGGGGATAAAAATCCCCACAGGACAGCCAGTCCTGCCTTTCTTTTAGCAGTGTGAGTGGAGAGCACAGGCTGTAAACAACCCCTTGCACCACTGAGGATCCCTGGGCTCACAAACAACAGCAGGAACTCACAAACCAGCAGCTTCCAGGCAGTGAGAAAAATAAAACAACGGCCCCCAGGTGGAAAGGGCACCTGCACCCAGCCCAGATCTGCTGTGCACGTGTTCCCCCAGCACAGGCCCCACCCAGGAAACACCCAACTGTCTGTCTCACCACAGACTGGGATGGAATCCAGGCCATCCAGCAGTGCCTCCTGCCACTGCCTCTTGTTTTAGAGCAGACAAACCCCCTCCTCCCTCTCTGCAAGCCTCAGCTGCCAGCCTGGAGGCAGAAGTGGGCTCAGCTTTTGCCATTGCACAGAGGATGAGATGCTCCTGCTGGGAAATTGGCTCTGGTCTGTTCACAGCAACAACCAGCCCACAAAGCCAAGCTGTGCCCACCTGAGGCACAGCTGCCTGGGAGCAGGGCACAAACATGGAAATGATGGAGGAAAGGTGGCAGGAGAGGCAGTGGTGGCTCTGACACCTTGGGAAGCGAGCCTGAGCATGCCACAAGGACAGGGCTCCCTGCCTGGGCACCACATCTCAGCACCTCTGGCGTGTGCCAGTGCTCTCCCCATAGTCCAGGTCCCCTGAGCAGGTGCCCAGTGTCCCCCAGGTCCTGGCACTGCTCTGTGTCCCCCTGAGAGGAGCAGGGAGATGCTGCAGGCGGGCTCACCCCAGTCCACGAGCCACAGAGGAACAGGCAGAATGAGAGGGCAAGGCCGGAGTGTCGGTGCCCCAATGTGTCAAATCTATCAAGTGATAACAGTTGCTGCAGGGGCTTTTTCAGCTTTGAAACCCCCAGGGAACTCATCCAGTGGAGTGAAGCCAAGCCAAGCTCCCTCCTAGAGCCCGTTGGTGTCTATGGCTGTCACGGAGGCCGGCGTGGAGGAGCGCGAGGTGGTGGCCGAGCTCTTCTCCAGGGCTGGGCTGGGGATGCCATCGAGGCTCTTGGCTGCCACCCGGCCCGTGGGCAGTGCCAGGGGCTTGCTCTGGCCGTGCAGGCTTTGCCCACAGATGCGGTGGTGCCTCTCCCAGTCCTTGTGCTGGCAGAAGGAGCCGCAGTAGCGCGCGATGTTGCAGCCGCTGCACGTCTCGCTGGCCTTGCGGCCGCAGTTCCAGCAGCTCTGCAAGAGCAAAGACACTGTGCTTAAAGGGGGTTAGTTTCCCTAGGAGCTGCAGGATGGGGCTGACTCAGCTCTGGAGGGGACTATTCATCCCCTCTGGCCCATATTTGAGAATATGCAAATGAGCAATCCATTAATTCCTGCTATTTCCCAGCTCTTTGCCAACGGTTCTAACCCCCACTGCTCTTTGCCCACAGCCTCTGTCACACTGCTCCAGGCACATCCTCTGCCCCAGACCCACCCCAATGCAGACAGGAAACAGCAGGCATGGACTGAAAAACACTCTGCAGATGCTGCTATTGGGCCTTTTTATTTCCTGTTTTAAGCAGCTCTATTTTGGTCTCCCTCCCAGCCAAGTGCTCTCTGTGGGGATCACGGTGCGCTGCACAGGCACCATTTGCTCCGCACCCTGCCTCGGCGCACAAGAGGTTGGAGCAGGCCAATTTGGAAAAGCAAATGCTCATTTGAAAGCCTCCCAGCCAGGTGGAAGCACTGCCAGAGGCTGAGTTTCAGCCTGGAAGCGGAGCAAAGCCCCTCTGGCCGCAGGGAGAGGTGTCAGCTGGTGGCTCCCGCGTGCCACCGCTTCCCTCGGAGCGCGGGGCAAGGGGCCAGCCCGGATCAGGGCTGCAGCTGCTCTGGGGAGGGGAGGGACGGCACAGCAGCTTCCCTGCAGCTGGAGCAGGGCGTAGCAAACACACACTGGGGAGGGCAGCTCAGCTGTGGGAACACAGCTTCTGTCAGAGCTGGCCTTTGTGGGGACACGGCTGCTGTGACCACCAGCAGAGCTGTGGGAGCAGGGTGCTGGGAGGTGCTGGGCTCCACCAGGCAGCCCTGCTGTGGGGAAGGGCTGGCAGATTCCCACTGCCAGGCTCAGCACTGGAGCCACCAGCTCACGGTGGTGATTTATGGGCTGGCAGTGAAGCACCTGACCGGTTCACTTTGGAATGAGCTGCTCCAGAGCCTCTGTGTCCCCAAGGGTCCTCCACCTTCCAGGAGAAGCAGCACTTGAGACCAAAAAGCCCCTACCAAAGGATGTGGTAGTTCTTTGGAAACTGGGTCACTGCTTCACAGCTGTTTACACTTCAAGTGTTTTTCAGCTGTGTTGCAAAGGTTACGAGATGTGCCAGAACACAGGATAGCTTTTAGACAAGGGCTCCAGGGCTTGCACAGGGGTGCTCAGCAGCTCCCGAGGTCCCAGACTGCTCCTCAGCACAGCTGGAGGAGGAGGACACTCCTCTGCTATTCCCCCATGGAGAAATCACTACTTGCCTCATTCCTTCCATGGCTTCCTGAGCAGTTCCACCCACTCCCATCATGCGACTGCTGTGTTCAATCCTCAGCAATTTGACTGGGAATTGCACTATGGACATCATTCTCTGGAATAACACCTAGAATTCCATGGTTCTGGCCACACTTCCCAAGCCCCAGCTGAGCTGAAACCCACCAGGAGGTTTGGACCTGCTGTCCCCAGTAGACATGAACAGCAGTCCCATCAGATTTCTGCTCAGCAGACACAAACCCTTTGCTCTTGTATGTGCAGAGAAATTAAAATAGGGAGCAAAGCCCACATGGTTGGGATGTGGCAGTGCAGGAATGAGCCATGTGACTCCCTTTGCCCAAAATCTCAAAAAGTTCTGCCCAAGTGAACTTCCTGCTAAGCAACAGGGAGTGTGATGATTGAAAGAGTAGAAAGGGATTCTCTGAGGCACCCATTCAGCACATGGCACTGGCTGTGACAAACCAAGATCCATCCCTTCTTATCCAACATGCAAGTGTGGCACAGACCACCAGGAATGTGCAAGGGCTTTTCATGCAGCCCAGCTTCTGCCCTGCCCTGTTTTCAAGCCCACAAACAGCAATTTCTTTTTTGCAAAGATCAAGTACTCCACCACAATTTCTGAGCTAAACTGCTGCATGCACCAGCATCCTTTTCTCTTTGCTTCTACACCTCTTTCAATCCCACAAAATTCCTGGTGATTACACTGAGCCCAGCTCAGGGTGCCCAGTGGCTGCACACATACATGTCCACAGACATTTTCAGGCTGACTCCCTGCCAGCAAAACCTAAAAAGATTTTTGATTATATTGGTGCATTGTTTAGTTATTGATTGGAGAGAGACTTCTAAAAGGAAAAGGTGTTGAAGACTGGAGTTTGGAGCACCCTGGTCTAGTGGCAGGTGTCCCTCTCATGGCTTGGAATGAGATGATCATTGTGATCTCTTCCAACCCAACCCGTGATTCTGTGAAAAGGCAGGGGGGACCTACAGGTTTGACCTGGAGACTCTGCAGCCTTGGCAAGCCCATGCCAGGCTGTGCCCTCACCTCAGTGGACTCCTCCTGCTCGTTGATGACCAGGAAGGCATCCTCGGTGGCCTGGCGCTTGGCGTCGGCGATGGTCTGCTCCATGCGTGCCCGCTCCGACGCGATCATCTCAAAGGCCTTCTGCTCCGCCTCGGCCACCGCCTTCTGCACCTCCGACATGGCCTGCCGCTTCACCTCGTTCACAGCTTCTTCTGGAAGGAAAGAGCAGCCTCAGCCACCACCCTGGCACTGAGGGGAGCCTCCCAGAGAAACACAGCTCCAGCTGCGCATTCACAGCGCAGCATCCAACGCGCGGCAAGGGCAGGCTCAATGCCACGGGATCCCTGCAGCACCACAGAGGAGCCATGGGGAAAGCCAGGGTGGGGATGATGGCAGCCAGGTGTGCACATCCTGGGGCACTGCTGCAGCTGGGATGCTGCTGTTTCTGCACAGCAAATCCCAGTTTTGTGTTCAGCCTGGGTGATCTGGTGGGATCCCAGCTGTGCTCACCATGAACACTCACTGGGTTTTACCCAAATCTCCTCCGTGACAGCCATGGGATCCCCATGGCATTTCAGAGAAGCCATGGGGAAAGCCAGGGTGGGGAAGATGGCAGCCAGATGTGCACATCCTGGGGCATTGCTGCAACTGGGCTCCTGCTGTTTCTGCACAGCAAACCCCAGTTTTGTGTTCAGCCTGGGTGATCCAGCGGGATCCCGGCCGCGCTCACCGCGAACACTCACCGGCTTTTTTCCAAATCTCCTCCGTGACGTAGCCCGTCCCCGACCTGCTGCTGAACTCCCTCAGGGAATCTGCTGGAGGAAGGGACACAGGAAAGGTTGGCAAAGCCTCGTCCCACCCAGCTGCAGCTCATGTGCCCAGTGGTAGCTCAGGACATCACAGGGCAGGGAAGGATTGACCAGCTAAAGCTCCAAGCACAGGATTCCTATGGGTAAAGCACTCCTCAAACACTCAGATGATAAATTACAGCGTTTAATTAGCACCTTGCATAATTTATGACACTGTATAGCCTATCTCCTGGTACTCTAAAACAACAGGCAATGCTTACAAATGTATGTTATCCAACTTCTGCACTGTCCACAGGCTGTGAGCATCAGTCTGTACACCAGCAGTTTACATTAATCACAGCACTTCCCAATCCCAGGGCAATTCAAAGGCTTGAAATTATGAACAAACTGTCCTCCAAGACACCTGGAGATGCTGTTTGATGCTTAACTGAACCTTCTCACAAGAGCAATAGAGCTTGAAAATTATCCCTAGGTCCCACAAGGGGAGAAAGCAACAGCTTTCCAAATTTATATAAAAATTTTAATTATATCAACATGGGCTGGAAGTCTATTAGTCATGATATACTTAAATATAGAAGGGCTAAAAGCTGGCTGTGCCCCCCAGGCTGTCACATACACCCACTGCTCCTCAGGCTTGGTGGCAACTGGAGCCAGGGGCACTTGGATTCCTTGCAGGAGGATTCACTCGGTATTTTGTATACAAACAAGTAGAATATACATCAAATTGATATTTATTCTTGCTAGAAGAAATCCGTTTTTCTTACTGAATAATCAGTGGGATTTTTCCCCAGAACTTCAATTGCAGTGGGTTTGTTTGCACAGAAATCTGAATTACATTGAAATAAATAAGCATTTTAGGTTTGTTTTTTTCTATAGGGTCAAACCCCTGCATACTGGATGGGGAAACCAGTCAGCTTCGATAAAGTTGACTCATGATACAAAAATAGAACTAGTAACACAGGTAGCTATTACACTTACAAAAGCCTTTGGTATTTTTAGAATAAATAGACCTTGACATTTAAAATCCTTCAGGCAAGAGGGACTGGTAGGGGGAGAGTGGAGGAGACAAACACCTCCTCCCTGCCTTTTCACCCCCAGCTTTGGACCAGCTTTGGCCAGCAGTGACAAGGAAAGCATGAGCAAAGGTGCCTTTAGACACAGACAAAAACTGCTTCCCCTGCCACCTCTCTTCAAATCCTTGAGAAAAATACTTAAGCACTGTGTGGATGTGACAGTCTGGTGTTGGGGAATTTTTTTGTTTGTTTTGTTGGTTTGTTTTTTTTTTT